GAACATATAACCGAACAATTTATTCATTTTCTTTGTCATCATCTAAAGATCATATATACAAAAAAATATTCAATTTTTAAAGCGTTTAATCATCCATACGTGTTAAACCAAAATCAACGGTTTTAGTATCAAGTAGTATATTTATGATGAACTATCCATTTGTTTTATGCATATGAATGGCTAAAAGATCTTCAAATTGAATAATTTTTTGCATATATGTTCTTTAGATGATGATAAAGCAATGAACGGTTCCTATTATAATGTTCAGACGATAAAAGTTCGTTTATCGTAAGTCGGGGAGGGGACACAAGCATTAACTTATTATTAATATTCTTATTATTCTTTTAGAAGGATAATACTTGCATTCCTCTCTTTCTGGATGAGCTCATTTCCCCCATGCGAATAACGTATCTTAACTGTTCAAATTTCATAATTGAAACCGTTTAATTTCTTAATCTTCATTTAAAAATCAATCCCTATGAAAAATCATTTCATTTGCAAGCACATGATCATAAAGTTCGCAACAACAACAATCAATAAGATTATTATTACCCATGTTTTACCTTAGTGTAATCTTATGACGGTATTAGCCATAATTTTGGTTATACATCATAATTAGTATTTATTATTAGGATGGTATGCTAGAAACATAAAATTAACATATTTGTTTACAAACTGCCCACTTTTATCAGAGTCTGCCATCAAGTTGTGTCAATTTTTGTGTCCCCGACTAACTTTATTCTTTTTGGAAACATCACATTTGTCTATTTATCTAATCAAAATTAAATGACTACCTACATGATTTTGGAGAATACTTGCATCCCAGGGGATGCACATATCTCTTCATTTGCAAATAACGTACCTTGAGCATATAAATTCAACAATCGTAACCATTCAATTTCTTAATCATCACTTGGAGATCATTCCTAAAAAAAATAATTCGATTCGAAAATCGTTTAATCATCTAAACGTATAAAATAAATAAAATGGTTCATCATGAATATGTTACTAGTATCCACACCGTTGATTTTTTTTTTTATACATTTCAGTGACTAAAAGGTCTTCAACTCAAATGATTTTTGTATTAGGGGTGATCTTTAAATTAAACAAGGTTCTAAAAGATGCTAGGCACTAGTTGGACAGCAGGCTGAGGCTTAGCGCCTATGCAGCTAGGTGGGTGCCTAGGCAGACTAGGCGGATTTAAGTAAATTTATTATATTTCGTGTAAATAAGTGTCTGTTTATACTTAAAATATATATAAACTACAAAATAGAATGACATATATATATTATGAAGTATTGGAGCATAATGAAAGTATGGGAAACAAATATATAATGTGTGTTAAGTATTTAACAAGTCTCTTACAATTTATTGAAAAAAATAATATGCAAAATGAAATTTATCTATTTTCTATCTATGTGAGTCGCAACCTAGGCAGTTGCCTAGGCGGGTCTAGACGGGCGCCTCAACAGGTCTAGGCCCCCTTTCTTCATTTTCAAATGCCTAGGCATTAATCGGGACGGTGGCCAGCGCGGCGCTAGGCGGGGATTTTTAGAACAGTGAAATTAAATTAAAAAAATTAAACGGTTCCGATTATAAAATTTGTACGATGAATACATTATATGGGGAGAATGAGCTCATCCTCACAGAGGGGGAACACAAGTATTATCCTATGATTTTTGTTTGAGCTACTTAATTTTTCGAGAATGCTCTCTCCAAATGATAATTAGTTTTGCAACTAAATTTTAATTAAATGTATTTCTCACTTACAGTCTTATTAGGGCTCGGTTAATGATGTCGGCATGCATGCATGTGATTTCTTCTTATAATTAAAGATTTGCGTCTTATAAGTTTATAACTTTCATCGAATTTTGATTCTGGGAAAAAACAGATGGGGAAATGGAATGCGTGGGAGAATGAGACTCGAACACTTGAATACCAGATCCTTAATGGTAACTCTTTGCCTCTGTTCTGTAAGACTTTTTGTAATAGTTACTCAGTATATATGTATTTACGCTTCACGCTTCGGAGGAAATTTTGTTATGTATATATATACAGATTCAAGGAGGTTCCAACTCATCCACCAAACTCCTTTTGGGAAAAGGCATTTAAAGTTCTGGAGTAAACATCCTCTGCTGCTTTGGCCTGTAAGTCGTAATATAATTGGATCCTTACGCCTGATTTCTTAATTTCGTACAGTAATTTCAATACTTCATACTGTTTTTTAATTAAAGGAATAGGGATTCGAAATCGGGACTTATTCCAATATTATGGAAGAGAAATATTTCAAACAAAAATATATAAAAGATTATAGTAATTTTTTGTTAGTTTAATACTAGACAAACATATACATATATTGAGATTAATTTAATAGGAAATTAGTTCATACTAAACAAATGTTTTGACTTTTTCCTTAAAGTCGAAAACTGGGTGTTAGTTTGAGTTTTCTTTTTGTTCCTTTTAGGTGCTATATTTTAATATGTAAGCATATAGTTCAGGTACAAAGTTGTAGATTCATAGGTTATATATATTGTAAGTATATATATTAATGCAGACCAAATTAAAAATTCAATCCAAAAAGCTTTTATACGACTATATGTTCATAAAATTTTGATGTTATGCAACTATTAATATTTCTTGTTTTCTCTCCTTGCATTGCATGGGTTGTATAGGTTTGTTTTGCTCGACAGTTCTGTGGTTCAATCTCAAAAACTGATTACATGACTCTGCGGAATGGCTTCATTAGGGTAAGCAAGATCAAATGTTATGCGTTAGCCTCGATTAAAAAAAAAAAAAAATGTAAAAACACGTGTGTGACTAATTTCTTAAGTTTCATGTTTGACTTTACAGGCCAACTTTACAGACGGCAACAACTTCAATTTCCTGAGATTCCTCGCACGAGCTTTCGATGACGACTTTGAGCAAGTGGTTGGCATTAGGTACGGAAAAAAAACTCGCTTTTAATAACGAGACAATGTCATATACATAATGTATAATATTTTTGACAAATGAATAAGATACAAACGTGAGTTCGATCAATTGATTATGATAATACATCATTTCTCTTTGTACCTAATTAATTTCAAATTTTTGTTGTTTAAGTAAATTTAGAGTAGTTTAAAATATCTTGTAAAAGAAACAAAATGCATGATATATTGGAAGACTCTTACTCATCAATCAATTGCCAAGTAGTAATACACAATCATATACCCCTAATCGATCACCAACTTGATTTAAATCATCTGCGCCATATTAACAACACAACCATTAATAATATACATTTTTCGCATCTTGCTACTCATGGTGGTCACAAGATGCTTTAGCATGCTACAAATTATATGTAGAATATGACATTTTGGTAATCTCTTGCAGATTTTGGATCTGGCTCTTCTCTATCCTTTTCATATTTCTCAGTTCGCATGGTAAGAGTGGCTTAAGCTTGTTGGAAAAGAAAAGTAATATATATATATATATATATATATATATATATTATATTGATTGACGTTTAACATTTTCTTTGTTATGATATATATTTTTTAATTATTTGCAGTGTTTTATAATCATTATTGGCTGCCATTCATTCCCTTACTGGTACGGCATCTATTATACAAAACAAAACAAATTAATCAAGGCTTCAAGTTTCTATTTTTTCAATTACATATATAGATATTATATAATACTGCCAACTTTTTTCCTTTTCTTAAAGATTATATAACACTGCCAACTTTTTTCCTTCTCTCAAAGATTGTTATAGTCGTGGGAGCCAAGCTGGAGGTGATAATAACTAAAATGTGTGTGGAGAGCTGCAAGAATACTTCCGTTGTTCGAGGACGTGTTTTAGTGCAGCTCAATGATGACTTGTTTTGGTTTGGTCGACCCAGATGGCTTCTTCACCTCATCCAACTCGTCCTAATCCAGGTATACTTCAATGATTTTTATTAGGAATGATTCTTAAATGGATATTCAAAAACTAGACGGTTTAGGTTATTCAACGTCGTTACGAACACATGCATGCATATGGATAACTATAAATAGGGTATCCATAAAATACAGTTCTTGTCAAACGTTTTACTGTTGTTACCAGACTGAGAATTTGGTCACGCACATAAATAAGAATTAATGACAGTTTATGATCTGCTTGTTACAAAACAAATTCACTTGATGATCTTCCTAATTATCATCAAGATTTAATGGCAGCCTCTAAATCTTGTATTTGAATTTTAAACAAGAACCACTGCAACAAAGGGGCCACTACGTACGGATATTTCATTCAGTTCTAATTTTTTTTTAAGAACCAATTCGATCAATGATCCGGATTTACAGTCTGACAATATGTGCCAAACAGTGGCGACGAAACATTTCCCTTGTAGTATTTCCAAATTATAAGAAAGATACTGAATGTAGCATTTGAACTGGTTTTGCAGAACTCCTTTCACCTGGCATTCTTAACCTGGACATGGGTAGGTATCTTATATAACTTGACAAATTCAAGCAATTTTTACTTCCTGTAATTAAAGCTGATCCTGTATATATTGCCAATTGTTACAGTTTGAGTCTGGTTCAGGGTCTTGCTTAAATCGCAAAAGTGAAATCATAGCCATAAGGATTACCATGGGAGTAGTTGTGCAGTTAATTTGTGGTTATGTGACCCTACCTCTCCATGTCCTTGTTACCCAGGTAAGGATTTATCCCTCCTTAACTAAGTGACTATGATTTCATATGTACTTTGACACCTAGGATTGGATTAGATTGGATTGGAAAACTCACAGTATTCAAGATATGTTGAAGGAAGAAATGACGAAATTTCCGTTCAACTTCAAGGTAGAAGACAGATTACTTATAAAGGACCTCATCCCTTCCAATCCCCACAAAATGAAAATTATTCAGCTCAACCCTTACACATACCTTGAATTATATGATTTCTTCAATCCAATCTAATCGTGTGCACCAAACAAGAGTGCGAATCCGACTCCCACATCAGGAAATTAAGGGACCTTATATGCGATCATAAAGAGTTTAGTTCCCTTTCATATTGTCAATTAATTTTACAGTGAAATGTGGAACGTCATCTGAAGGTCCTTCTCTTAAGAAAATGTGGATATATATGAGATTGAAAGAATTGAGATACAGAGAGTAATGGATAATAATTTCAAAATCAATGACATTTCTTCTTCTTTTTTGTTTTTCCTTTTCATTAATGGTTGGTTTACTTGATAGATGGGTTCTGGCATGAGGAGAGCAGTGTTTACTGAATCTGTAGTTGAAGGCCTCCAAAACTGGCACAAGAAAGCAAGACAGAGACTTTCCAAGAGCAGATCCATTTCAAGGAGCCACTCCCACTCATCGTCGCCTCATGCACACAATTGTGACACGACTGAAATTTCAATCGCGGATAAAATAGTTAAGGAAGCTCCGGATTCTGATCAGCGTTTTCCACCTCCTGCAGCAATAAGCTCTTCTTCAACCTCTGAAATCACAGAAGAGGAAGTCCCACAAAAACCTCCTCCAACCCCATATATAACAAGTTTATCCATTATTCCAGAAATCACCAAAGAGGTAGAAAATCCGAAGATCGTTGCAAGCACTGTGACTTACGATGGTGAGATATCTTTTGGGAGCAGTTGGAAATTTGAAGATAGCAAGCGTCATGGGAGAGAAATCACTGAAGTGATTGATGAAGACCATGACTCTGATATATTAGCTACTTTTGATCAACAACCAGCTACAAGCACATAACTCTTTGTGCACCTTGTAAAATGCCTTACGATATCATGTTACTATTTGTATAAAATGAAATAAATATAAAGTAATGATAGAGAGGGGCAATACGTTGTTGATATTTCGCATTTAACATTTTAAACACTAAATCGACAATCTCCTAGAACATATAATCCGTCTTTCCTAATAGAGCTAGATTTCAGAGCATAACGTGGAGGATGATATTAAGCAATGTTCAACATTATGGACCAAAGTGATGAGTTTCAGAAACCTCAGTGACCGTGAAAATTTTAAAGCTGTCAACAAATCACCAGATCCAAGGGAAAGAATTATATGATACTTATATCAATGGTGAATAATCATGTTATTACTTCTTGTAAACTGCTTGGTACAAGTGAAATTCTTAGTAGAACGGAAGCTTACATGAGCCGATAGTATAATGCCTACCAAAACTGGTTGTGGAGCAACTGGATGGAAGCCGTAGATGCTCCTCGTTATACTTGACCGTCACAAGACAAAGCCCATGAGGTGGAGTAAACATGGTATATTTGGCAAGCACCCTCCGATCTCGTGTTGCCAATATCTTGGGAACAATATCAGGAGGAAGCGCTTCCCTTCCAATTTGAATCAGCAGAGCAACCTGCAGTGGTGTGAAAATGCAAATGCTTATACATCCGTTGCTTGGAACTAAAAAGACATTAACTTTTGATGAAAATGGTTAAAATGAATGCTTCACCATGTTCCGGACTTGTCTGTATAAGAAGCCAGAGCCTTCAACTTCTAGCTGCAAAAGAGCTCCCTAAACAAGGATATGATTAAAGAATCAGTTATTTCTTGACACAAAAATGAAGGACAAGTGCTAATCAAATTAGTTTAAGATGATTATACAGAAATATCAATCAATGAAAAGTAATGCAGAGAACTCTAACATTCAACTACTGTTCACGAAATCTTGTGGGTTTTGGTTGCTACCATTTCAATGACATCAAAACGGAATATATCCTTGACTGGATCACGCACTCTTTCCTTCTGGGAGGCATTGACAAAAGCAGAGAAATCATGTTTTCCAATAAAATACTTTGCAGCTTCTTGCATAACAGCGGCGTTTAGCTTATGAGCACTATGGTAAGCATAGTGACGCTGAAATGGATCCATGAATGTGTCGTTATATATTTTGTAATGATAAATCTTGCTTTTCGCTGAAAAACGAGCATGGAATTCAGGCACTGCAGGGCTGATCTCCCTAACTCGGATATCATCAGGAAGAAGACCGTTAAGAGCAGCATGAATGCTTTCAATGCTGTCATAGTTGAAAGGTGTGACAAAGTGTGCAACCTGAAAGCTCAACTGCAAGTAAGTCTGTGATATGTTGTTGGTTGTGAAAATGCTTGTTGTGAGAAAGTCAGACCTGACCCCAGGCATGTACTCCTTTATCCGTCCTACTTGCACCAACGAAATGAAGATCCTTCCTTTCCAGCTTCGTTGCGCTCATTATAGCATTCTCCACAAAGCACTGTATTGTAGGCGGTGAACTCTGGTATTGCCATCCTGTCACATTCATTGAGGTGTTGGGAGATGATTGATGCAGAAAGTTGGAGCTTAACATCAAGTTGAGAACTTTTGAAATGGGCATCTTAAATATCTCAAACTGGAGAGGTTCTTGGGTGTCCACGGTTGTATACAACCATAAACCTATCTCTCTCTCGTCCCAGACGTGATGAGATAGATCCAAGCCAGACACATGATTATATATAACTGGTAATACGGCAGATTTTCTCCTCAAATTGACAACAAAGAATGACCTTCACGACTATAAGGTGCCCGATTACAAAAAGAACATATCACTCGCATAAGTAAGATGCACAAAGTTGGAGGTTGAGGAAAATGTAAAATCCTTCTCAGCAGTGTTATGTCAAATATATCAAAGAATCACTTTCTAAGCAGAGCAGATTGTCAGCAGAAACTTTGTTCTTTTATATACAAGCGATATTATACCTTAAACTAATCAAATTTGTGGGGAAGGGATTCGAAATCAGGTGCACAGACGTAATAAAGAAACCACTTTTTCCTTCAATATTAGCAATTGGGTTCCTCACAAACGTAATAATTAGCAAAACCCAAGACTTGCCAACGCCTAACAAAGCAAAGCACATCACAATTGAAGCAGAAGGAGGGCAAAGCTCAAAGCTTTAAATTTTAATGGAAGAAAGAAATAACCTGCATAACGAGTGCCGTCATAAGCAATCACCAAACGCCACTTGTACCCACCATCCCCTGTCTGCTTCCTTACCATTAGCTCTCCAATTCCATCCTTTTTCTTCTGCAAAATTTACCCATTTCTGTTATCACCAGTGTGTGTGTGTGTGTGTGTGTGAGAGAGAGAGAGAGAGAGAGAGAGAGAGAGAGACTACCGAGCTGCTTATGGAAGTTGTGGGAATTGGAGGAGAGAGAGAGCCGTTAAGATTTGGAGGAGAAGGAAGGCCTACTACAACTGCGGGACTACCCATCTTCTCATCTCTCCACTCAAAACCCACAAATGTCTGTCACATTGTTTTCACTCATTACATTGCAATTCCGAAGGGTTTAAGACACGGGAGATCAAATCTTCAGCCGTTCGAAAAGTCAAAAGCAATGAAGAAGCAAGATGAACGGTCTAAAGACGCGGATGTACCACGAGTCCACGACTAAGCTGCAATCCAGATGCAGTGAATCACAAAGGCAGATGACTTACCTGGTACGGCCTTACCGTCACCATGTGGTTTCATGCTAATAAATAAAAATATGTGTGAATTTTTATTTATATGTTTTTACATTATTGATACGAAATGTTACATGACAGTAAATTCGTGTTAAGTATTTAAGTTAACACTTATTTTGGTGATAAAGGTGAGAAATATTTATTTTTTAAGAGAGAAACTTACCCTAAACCTATTGAGATGTCACCATAGTGTGAGGTATGTTATGTGGAGGAGTTGAAACACATGCATCATATTATTGGCTCAGGATGCACAATGTTGCGATTGTATTTAAACTCAAACGCGTCATTGTAGAGTGATCATATTATTTTTACTTATAAATGAGATGTTTCGTGAAGTTTGTTATCAGTTTATTTCTCTACCTCTTATGGTGAATATCTTGTTGTATAAATAATAACTTAAAAAATGTCATGTCAACAATTAAGCTGGAGTCTCACAATTTGAGTAACAAATGGCTATACATGTAGGTATTCTTTGTGTTTGTGTACGAGTTTGTTGAGTCTTACATGATCACGTAACAATCTAAATGAGCACTACAATTTTAGCATGTTATGTACTTAACGAGAGAAATTTCGATACGATTGTTCTTATAGAACATTTTGTACAATGGGTGAGATGTGAAGTCAAAATAAGAGTAGAATTCTCTCTTTTCATATTCCCCTCCCTTTCTGTCCTCTCACATTTTACTTTTGTCTCTATAAAAAATTTAATATAAAATGTTGAAGTCTGTAACCGTTCAAACACGAAAGGAAAAAAGAAAAAAAAAATGTTAAGAGGTATGAGTTCTATGAATAAAGTGGTCCAATTACCCTACCTAACCCAAGGTCTAATCGTACTTTATCCAATGAAAACTACGGGACATGTGTAATCAGATGATTGGAACACCGTGACACAATGTGCAGGTACACTGTGTACCGGATTGTAAACAGTGAAACATTGTCCCTCCAATTACGTGAGGGCCCACGTCAATGTTATGTGGGCCCCTGCAATCTGATTGGATAGATTACCAAATCCAACGAGTCTAATCTACACACGGGTGCAGCCAATTACAAGGGCAAAGTCTCATTACCCGGTTCGTTCCCTCTCTGGAAGCTCTCCGTCGACTTTCATCTGTTCCATAGATTCACCAGAGATATTCATCTCAGTCTGGCTTCAAGGTTTGATTTTTAATTTCCCCAAAATCTAGGGTTTCGATTTGTATTTTACTTGCAATTGTTTCGTATTAGGGTTCTTGTTTGTCATTGTTTAATATTGTTTACTCTATAATTGATTTTTGTTTTTCTTTTACCTTTGATTATACGCTAGATTTTATTGTACTTGTTATGCTCAGGATTTTCTGAAATTTTTACTTGTGTAGATGGATAATTTCATGTTTTTATGGAAAATAAATAGATTGGGTATTTGGGATTTGTGTAATTTCAACATTTAGGGTATGGATATGTGCAAAGGTTTCAAACTTTGGGGTTAGTTTTGTGAATGTAGCTGGAACTTAGAGTCTTTTCAACTGTGAAATTAAACCTGCTTAAGTAATTTCAGAAACTTAGCTTCATTCTGCGTAATTTTGTTTCTTATGAACTATGAATTTCGACCCTCTTGTGTAAATTGTTTCGAGCAATTTTTAGTTTTCAACTTTTTGTTATGATTTCTTGTGTATAAACGTATACAAATTTCTTTTTGGGTGGGTAGGCCATGGCTGCGAAGAAGGTTATAGCAATATGTAAATTGGGCACAGAGTTTGTGATGGATAAGGATGGAAATTTATCGTACTCTGGGGGTGACGCTCATGCGATTGGCATTGATGAGAAAACACTGCTTGGTGATTTTAAGTCCGAAATAGAGGATATGTTTAATTGTAGTGCTGATACAATGTCCATCAAGTACTTCCTTCCCAGCAATAAGAAGACTCTCATTACGATCTCTAAAGACAAGGACTTGCAACGTATGGTCAATTTTCTCGGGGATGCAGACACTGTTGATGTTTTTGTCATGACAGAGGAAGCTGCTATTCGAAATTTGTCCAACATGCCTGCTAGTAGGTACATTTGTTTTAGTTCATCTTATTTCTTGCAGTTTTGATATCTGCTTTTGTGTGTTTTTCCCTGGATGAATAATCTTTTGTAGTTCGGTTTGGTTCACAATTGCAGCAATCACAATGTGGAACAGAGACCATGGAATGTGTTTATTATTTCAGTTTTTGTTGAACACTGATTGCAACACGTGCATGCCTTTTCATATCCCATTATGAAATGCGATTGTACTGTGCTTGTGTACCCAAAAAGAAGCACTTAACCGAACAAAAGCAACGTTTTCCCTGCATGTGTTTTGCATGTAATTCTCATTTGAACGCTTGGACATGCAGGTCAAGCAGGACAACTGTATCGGAAGCAGTGGTTCCTTTTGTTGAGCCCGTTGATATGCAAGTTGATACTGACAATACTGACAATGCTGATGGCCAAATTGATATGGAACTGCATGAAATCCCTTTGCTTCATGTTCCTAGTTGTTCTAGTGATGATACGCATCATAGAGCTGCACAACAGTGGGAAAGCACCATCACTGGTGTGGACCAAAGGTTTAATAGTTTTAGCGAATTCCGAGAAGCATTGCATAAGTTTTCAATTGCACATGGATTTGCTTATAGGTATAAGAAAAATGACAGTCATCGTGTCACTGTCAAATGCAAAGGTCAAAATTGCCCATGGAGGATATATGCATCAAGGTTGTCTACAACCCAGTTGATTTGTATAAAGAAAATGAACACGGATCATACATGTGAAGGAGCTGCTGTGAAAGCTGGGTATCGGGCAACGAGAGGTTGGGTGGGAAGTATCATAAAGGAGAAGTTGAAAATTTCCCCAAACTACAAGCCAAAGGCTATAGCAGAGGACATTAAGCGGGAGTACGGGATTCAATTGAATTATTCTCAGGCATGGCGTGCTAAAGAGATTGCCAGGGAGCAGCTTCAAGGCTCCTATAAAGAGGCCTATAATCAGTTGCCGTATTTCTGCGAGAAGATAAAGGAAACTAATCCAGGGAGTTTTGCTTCATTTACTACTAAGGAAGACTCGAGCTTCCATCGTTTCTTTGTATCTTTCCATGCATCAATTGTGGGTTTCAAAGAAGGTTGCCGCCCTCTAATTTTTCTTGATAGCGCTCCTCTGAACTCAAAATATCAAGGAGTTTTGTTGGCTGCAACAGCCGCAGATGCTGATGATGGTGTATTTCCGGTTGCATTTTCTGTTGTGGATAATGAGACTGATGAGAACTGGCACTGGTTCTTACTAGAACTGAAATCGGCAGTGGCAACATCTCAGCCGATCACATTTGTAGCAGATTTTCAGAATGGATTGAAAAATTCATTGCCCGAGGTATTTGATAAATGTTACCACTGCTATTGTTTGAGGCATCTTGCTGAAAAACTTAACAAGGACTTGAAGGGCCAATTTTCTCACGAGGCAAGACGATTCATGATCAATGATTTTTATGCGGCTGCTTATGCACCCACTCGGGAGGCTTTCCAGCGTAGTGCTGACAACATAAAAAATATTTCACCGGATGCTTACAATTGGGTCATACAAAGTGAGCCCGTGCACTGGGCTAATGCATTCTGCGGAGGAGGCAGGTACAACCACATGACATCGAACTTCGGACAGCAGTTCTACAGTTGGGTATCAGAGGCGCATGAGTTGCCAATTACGCAGATGATTGATGTACTACGAGGCAATATGATGGAAGCCTTCTATTCACGCGGGGTGGAGTCCAACCAGTGGGTGACAAGATTAACACCATCTAAGGAGGAAAAGCTTCAAAAGGAAACAGAAATTGCTCGATCACTTCAAGTGTTACTCTCACATGGTAGCACGTTCGAGGTTCGTGGAGAATCTGTCGACACTATTGACATCGACCATTGGGATTGCACCTGTAAGGAATGGCATCTCACTGGTCTGCCTTGCTGCCATGCTATTGCTGTCTTTTTAGTTATTGGCAGGAACCCTTATGATTACTGCTCCAGATACTTCACAGTGGAGAGTTACCGTTTAACTTACGCAGAATCAATTCACCCTGTTCCTAATGTAGACAGACCACACACATGTGAATCAAACCAAGCAGTAGTTACTGTTACCCCTCCGCCCACCAGGCGGCCGCCAGGGCGGCCAAAGACGAAGCAGACGGAATCAGATGACATAATAAAACGGCAGCTGCAATGTAGCAAGTGCAAGGGGCTTGGCCACAACAAGAAGACATGTAAAGATTCTAGCATTGTTTTAGGGACATTGTTAAAGTAGGGTGTTTGAGCTTTCAACCTCTCTATATTTTTGACCAGTTTTATTGGCAGTTTAGGAGTCTGTATTTTCCAAGCTTTGAGTTAGAGTTTTTAGGATCCTTTTTTTTCTTAATTTACTTGTAGAACAAGGTTAATGATTTTCCTGTCACATAATTTTAATAAATTTGATCCAGAGCTATGCCTTTTTTACTTCTATGTACTCCGATCCAATGGTACCTCATTTTCATAACTCTCATCATCTCTTGGTTGATGATTCATATTTTCTTTCCCATCCTCACCCATGAACCTGTTGAGTTTACTTGTGACACATGTTTATATACTTATAATGACATGATATTTTTCTGATTCCTGATTTTCTCGGTATTTTTTTTAATAAGCAATATTATCTACACTAACGGAGAATGAGAAGCTTAACCTTATAATGAGCTAAGAATAATGTGGTTTAAATTCACTTTTGATGAAAATCGAACATAAGACCCCTCATTTACAAATGAAAAGAAAAATATTATTAGACGTAGTACTGAATAATGACCTTCTTGGTATTTACGAAAAAGAAAAAAAAAATATTTATAATCACGTTATAATTCATAATTTAATACCTCAATAATCAAAACTCGCTTGATTACATTGAGCTGTGTTTTTAATGATAACTTGAATGTTTTAAGCACCAAGAAGTATTGAATGAGGTTTAAATCTTTTAAGTCGAGTTCGAACTCTTGCTAATTACATTTTTTAGGCCCCCGATTATGTTTACCAAGATACAAATTAATGCCAAAGTATGTCGACACCTAAAACAACATTGGCAATATAGATAAGGTCAAACGGAGACAAAAGTTCTTTTCGTAAAAGATTAAAGTGCACAAGTTCATACTGTGTTCCATTAAACAACGGACACGAACCATGAAACTCCAAACTGAGCGCTAACATGCCGACACGTGGGCCCAACTTCACCGTGTCGGTATGACACGTGTCCAACCGTACGCATTCTGAACCTGCTACCCTGTGTAACACCTGTCCCTTTTCTCATGCACCACCTTCTTAAAACCACCTCCTCCACAACCCTATACTTCCACACATTGCTTCCTGATCCTTTCAGAAAACACGTCTCAAAACCTTCAGTTTTTCAGAAAATACGTTTCAGATTTGAATCTTCAGAAAACATTTATACAGTCATGGGTGCAAAGCAACCTTACAAACTACTTCTTGCCATTGCGGTGGCGGCGGTGGTGGTGATGCTTGCAACCTTATGCCGCGGCTCCAGCGTGGGGCATACGCCGTCTGCGAACGAGGAAGTTATTGATGAGTTTGTGGAGTCTAAGGACCAGTCAAGGCAGACGGAAGACGCGAGGGCGGCGGAGAAGGCGAGAGAGGGTAAAGAAGGGTCGGAGTCGTGGACGGAGTGGGCTAAAGAGAAAATCACCGGAGGACTTGGGCTGAAGCAGGATGATGAGAATTATTTGAAGGATAGTGCTAAGAAGGCTTCTGATGCTACTTATGACACTGCTTCTGGTTAGTCACTACTGTTTTTTAAATTATTTCCTACATAATTTGTGATGGAATGTGAAATTTTCTGCTTTATTTTGGATCAATTTTTAAATTTTGTCCAGGAACTGGTTTTTTTTTTTTTTTTTTCTTCAATGGGATACCGTTTGAGGATTTTACATTTGTACTGTGTTTCTTAAGTGTTTTCAATATGAACTCCAACATGGTGACGAAGAAATGTGTAGAGATAAATTGATTAGAAATGGATGGACATTGGATAGACAATAACTGAGTGGCACGAAACCATCACTTTTATATGATTTGTGTCCTTCGAAATGTATTTTTAATTGAAAATTTGTAACGGTTTTATTTATTCGAATTAAAGTTTGTAAGTAGTTCTATTTATTCATATTTCCCACGAAACAGCGAAATGTTGAAATGTGGTGACCTAGACAAAACATATTAGAGTGAAGTTAGTAATGTATTGTTAAGAATGATATATCTATTTAGAATTAATGTCTTACGTACTTTAAAAATTCAGGGGCTGGTGAGTATAGCACAGAAAAGGCCAGAAACATTAAAGGTACGGCTGCAGAGAAATCTGGAGAGATGAAAGAAACAGCCGCCGAGAAGGCCGGCAAGACGATGGATGCAGCAATGGAGAAGGTGTATGAGGCCACTAAATCGGCCAAAGACATGACGTACGATGCTGCTAATGCCGCAAAGGAGAAGGCCTACGAGGCCACTAATGCGGCTTATGAGACCACAAAGTCAGCAAAAGACAGGGCTTATGAGGCTACGAAGGAAAAGACTTATGATACTGCAGAGGCAGCGAAGGAAAAGGCTTATGAGGCGGCGAAGGCGGCGAAGGAAAAGACTTATGGTACGGCGGGTGCAGCTAAGGAGAAGGCTTATGAGGCCACAAAGGAGGCGACGGACAAGACTTCTGATACGGCGGGTGCAGCGAAGGAGAAGGCATACGAGGCCACAAAGGCGGCAAAAGACAAGACATATCAAACCAAGAATGCAGCTGAGGAGGCTACAAAGGCGGCGAAAGACAAAACGTATGAGACGAAGAACGCAGCTGAGGAGACGGCCCGAATAACAGCAGAGAAAGCGAATGAGGCTACCGGTTACGCGGCAGAGAAAGCAAGAGAAGCGAAAGAAAAAGCAGCGCAAACGGCAGAGGAGGTGAAGAACAAGGCTTATGAGAAAGCAGAGGAGACTAAAGAGGCAAAGGAGAAGGCAAAGGAGAAGTCCCAGAAGATTAAGGACGAAGTTGCTGGCCGCGGCCGTGACGAGGAGCTCTGAGTGCTAGCTGCTCCATTTGTTGTTGCATCGTCTGATGTTACGAGTCGGCTTTTGTTGTTGTATGGAAGTTTTGTTTTGCGTCTTGTTGTGTAATGCTCTGATTGTGCTGTTGTATTTAACGATGTAACGCAAGTTTGCTTGGAAATATGGCTAGTTAATATTTCGAACTTGAACATCTGGGATTTGTTGTCTGGACAGTATTCTTAGGCCAATCCTTCTCGGATTATTGTGATACCGGCCCAAATGTGATCATCAATGGACTTTAGTAAGATTACTAACACGATACCGGATCCAGGCAGAAGTAGAACTTGGGAAGTATACGCTTCTGGATAACTAGCATGTGATTGGAGGCCTCCGTGTTGTGGCTGCACTCTTCGCAGGATTCTCTGGTCCAGCCGACAATGCTCCTAACTGATTAACAGACAACATGGCTTCGGCTTAAAGGACAAGAAGTGACCTAAAGCTTGCATTTCGCAGTGACTTGGGGGAGGATTATTTCTAGGGTGGTGCACTCCTTTTTTTTTACCTTTCTTCTACACGGTTAATTTCTATCATTTGATCATCCTTATTTCTTTTAATATTCAATTTAATGACCAAGAAATTGAGAGCGTGTTAAAGGTAAAATGAGGTGTGTATTTCTATATATGAGATTTGAATTTGATGCATACCATATTGTTACAGTGGTGTGAATTGGACAACATGAACCAGAGAGTGAAGTCAAACTAACCTTTTAAGCGGGGCTAAGGCAAGTTTTATTTTTTTATTTTTCACTATTGTACACTTGGCCATGCTCTTTCATCTCTTAAATGATTAGTCATTTATCCTACAAATCAAACTCATGAATTTGATATATTGAGATTTAAATTATTCTTCTAAGATTCAAAATTTCCGGCTCATTAGGAGTATGATTCTTATATTATTAACATCATACTTAAGTTTCCGACCCACTTTGTAATGCCCAACTCTATACCTAATCACCTAGGTCCTTCATGGTTGGAAAGATGAGAAAACTTTCATGTAAAATGTTGACTACCTTTTTTCTTTCTCTTTCATTCGAGCAATTTTCATATTACCTACTTTTGAAGAGTTATTTACATCAGATTTCATATAACATGTTGCATTTTGCTACAAAGAGAGGGGTATATGCAGGTAAATAAGTTATTTCCCCGAAGGCTCCGGCTCCGCCACGGTGAGTTTCATGTGCTACAACCTTGAGCCATTTTGGATTTGGTATAACAATATTTTAGTGCATATGTGGGCATATGATTTACGCAAATCTCATATAGGGTGCTTGGCAATACAATAATGCGACGATCATAAAAAGCTTAAGTGGTTGTTGGGATCCCATTTATTATAGGGAGTTTTAACGAAAAGTTCATGATACTGTTCACTTTAACCAAAAATCACATTTTTACACTAAAAAATCAATCCTGATACTATTCACTTTACCCTTTATTTTGTCCTTATCGTTAAAACTCAAAATTTTCAAGCATTTTCGTTAGTTTTCCTTTTATTATATTCCAATCTCAAGGATAGTTTACATAATCCTCTATGTCTTTCGTTCTAAAAAAGATGGGAGAAACTTTCATGTAACATGTTGCATATATATATTTTTTTCCCGACCGCGCTAATTATAAATGTACTTTGAAAGAGTTATTTTTCTATTGGTTTTCATATAACTTGCATTTACTATAGTGAAGGAAGGGTATATATCATGTGATAAGCAGTAACAGAGTCAGAAAGTATAATTGGTGGGGTCAATAAGAATGCGTGCACATCGCGCAAATTTGTTTGGACGGAATAGCATATAAATTGGCATTTTATTGAATCTTGTTAGACCTGATGTCGTTTTTCAAGTCTAATTGCACATCTGTCTCCAGATATCAACAACTTCTGAGCGAGTATGTCGACTGATATCAATAGTTTTTGAACGAGCATGCCTATATATGCCAACATATGCCGAGCAAACTTATCAAAAGATGCCCATAGCATCGCATACAAAGGCATGAGGCAAGCAGCTACCTTGTCCATTGCCCATAAAGTCAATTCGTCAAATAGTTAGATGACAACTTTCAAAGGCATCCATATTTATAAAAGGCAATGCCTTTTTTAGTAAAATATTCTAAACCTTGTGGGTCAGTTGACCCACCTTGTCCCAGGTGGATCCGCCCCTGATAATAAGTAAGGTTTCCAATCTCATACAACAAGTTGCATTTGGGTTTAAAGTATGGGGGATACAATACGTGATAGGTAAGTTGTTTCCCAAAACGCTCCGCAACAAGTAAATTTCATGTGCTACAACTACGAGGAGTTGGGTATAACAATCAATACTTTGGTGCATGTATGGCATATGATTCACACAACTCTCATGGGGTGTTAGTGCATATATAGGCATGTGATTCACACAACCCTCATGGAAGATGTTGGGTAGATGTTGATCATAAATAAGCATCAATATTTTGTTGGACTCAGTACCTAAAATTTCTCAAATTTTTAGTGTCATTTTAAATTGTTTTCAACCTTTTAAAACATCCCAAGTAAGTACCTAACTTATTGAAAATGTCACATCTGTTACGCCCCAATTGAATTTTTGTTAAATTTAGGGTTTGCTTTGTCTCCAACATCAATAGAAGGTCATGGAAGTATGGCTTCCACCAAGTAACAGTCACAATCTCCCCCTTAGACCATCACCTCCAAATGCAACGCATAATCACAAACTCCACCTACAACTCAGGTCGCCAACATCAAGAAGAAGGTCGTGGAGGTTACTAAAATGGTATGGACTGCCATGATGCAACCACCATCATCTCACTACTAGAATTTTGGCTAAAACCCACCATTTTCATTGGTGTCTATTGTCAAGTATGGACACTCTCATTGGTGGCAAACCTCAATGGCCACCAAACAGCCACTAAACTAGAGAACATGTCCTATGTAGAGGACTCTATTGTAACAATGGCTACCAATATTGCATTGGTGTCATCTACAAACAATGCCACCCTAATTCACATTGGTGGCAAAGTTGTAAATTTTTTTTTTTTTTTTTTGTTTTAAAGATGCCTCCGGGGGCACCGAGATTTGAATATAATATTTCCATTTTTTTTTTTTTGGTGAGGAAACAAATTGTAATATTTTTGATATAAGAATATACTACAAATTTGCATAACTGATCTTTTATACAATTTTGAACAAATGTTGGGACTCAAACTTTGAAAAGTGTTTGAACACTCTGTTTCCAAAGAGCTTAATCACGTTAATAACTTGAATCTGATCATTTGCTGCACCCAAAGTCAAATCTGCAAAATTCATAAGAATATTGTTAACTCAACTTCAACTATTAAAGCAATTAGAGTTGAGGACATGTATCACTGATATATGATCAAATAAATACCTGAGAAGTGTAGTTTTTCAAGAGGTTTGCAGTCATAATATCAGCCATGAAGACTCTCACGTTGCTACTACCATTTGGCCTGGTTGGTTAGGCCTCTAGCTCTGTTTGTTGTACTTTGGGGACTGCTTTGTAGTCTGTTATTAATAAATTTCCTTTTTTCAGAAGAAAAACAGGTAAAATGCGAATATAGACTTACAAGGTCTAAACATCAACTTGAAAAACCAAAATATCAAAATCAGATAACTTAAAAGGAAAGATATAGCTCCCACACATACTCATGAACAAATCCAAACCCATTCCTCATTTGAAACCAATAGGCAGCCTGAAATATAGGCCATTGAACCAACAATCATATTGGGCATTCAAAAAAGTAATCTTCTCACCTTATCTCTAATGAAGCTTTAAACCTTCTCCCGAATGATCTCATATGTGCTTGGTTCCTCAACACTCCCAATGTGCTTAAATAATGTTGTCAAAGAAGTTGTGCATACAAGAAGACGAGGTACATTATGAAGGAGAGAGATTTCGATGATCCTAGATGTATCAAGTGTTGAACTTAAGGCTAGTAAGAAAAATATATAAATCTACATAAAATGTGTAAGCGTTTGTACGTAGATACATATTTACTTATAAATTTTCAGGATAACTTACAATTTGATGTAATGAAACATCAGTTAATTTGTAATAAACATGTAATCTGTAATCATGCACCATCACTTAATTTGAAGAGCACAATTATACCTTTAACATCTTGCCTCAAAAGGGCAATAAGTGCTTTATGCACAGCATCATGCTCCACAAATTCCTCTAAAAGCATCAACAAAACCCAACATTAGACTCATATAACACAACCACCATACTCACAGGATCACAATTCCTAACAAAGAAAGGAAAAAAAAATCACCAGTGTGTTGAGGTGTAAAATATGCAAAGAAATAGAAAGTTAATTAATTAATTTGGAATTGATTAATTAATTAAAAATGATGGGAAGCAGTCGGTTGAAACAGGTAGAAAATGGAGCAGTTCCTCCCCCACTTTCCTCCAACGTGCAAAGGAGGAGTTAATAAAAAACTGCCCACTATTTCTACGGTGTTAATAAAAAGATTTGTATAGACGAGTTTGGCACCCATGCACAAAGATTGTCAGTGGCCCTATTTCAAGGCCCACCGATAATAAACTTCGGTGAATATAGAGTTAAGAAAGGCACCAATCTTCATTAGTGTGTAAAGAAGGGTGTCCTATTGCCCTTTTTCTAGTAGTGTCTTCAACATCCACAAAGAAGAACTGGAAGTTTTACTAGCTGAAAATCGGCAAATGAAGAAATCACGTGAGCAGAAACAAGCTCCTTGAATTCCTATATGAATTCTTAACCCTCTTTGTTAGGAGATTTCCAATCTTCATTTTTGTTTTGCATTTTATTTGTGAATTTGTTTATCTTTTCATCTTCATCTCTTTCTTGAATTTTTTTATATTTTATATTTATCATTATTCTAGTGTACGTGTAACAAAAAAATTAATTGGAACTTACAGATGTGACATTTCGATAAGTTGTATACTTGTATAGAATATTTAAAAAGATTGAGACTAATTTAAAATAAGGATAGTTTAGTTGTGGTCCCTAGTCTCTAACTGTTATAAACTCAAACTTTATGCATTTTAGGTTTTAGATTGAAGTCCCTCTCCACATCATTGACATAATAATAAAAATATGTAATCATATCAATAAAGACTCAAACCGTTATTTTGCTTTTATTTACACCACCAATTAATTACTGAAATTTG